ATTGGGACAATTCTAAAATCACAATAAATAACAACCAACAGTAGAAAACAATTCACAAGATTTTAAGATTTTTTAATAAAATAAAAAATGAAATAGAAACTAATCTTTCTTGTTTTTCTCCCCAGAGTTCGGCCTCAGCGCCGCGCCCTCGCTCGTGGACCCGTCCGACGACTCGGCGTTCCCCGGCGTGCTGGCGGCGGCGGAGGATCTGCGCGGCTGGGACTGGACGTTCGGGAAGACGCCGAAGTTCAGCGTTCAGACGAGTCTGCCTGGGGGGGGTCACCTGAGCCTGCAGGTGGTCAGCGGACGGATGGAAGACGTGGAGCTGAGCCTCCTGGAGGACTGGATCCCAGAGAGGCTGATCGGAGCGATGAGAGATGCGCTCAGCGGGGAGAAGTTCTGCAGAAAGCATGCGGCCGCAGCGCTGAATGCACGCCTGCTGCAGGGGGGGGGGGTGCAGCACAGAGTGAAGGTCCTCTGTGACGACATCATCAACGCATTGGGATGAAACACGAGAACTGATCATGGTGCAGGAAATACATTTTCAATAAATCTTATTTTTTATTTATCAAAGTCAACGTTATTGTCTTTCAGTTTGTGTGCAGAGATAAAAATACTGTTTCCCACTTTCCTGAATACAAAGCAAGATATATAAACATATGTATCACATGACACTTGTAAGTCGCTCAATACTTTGGGGTGAAGTGTCTCAGGGACACAACGACATGCAGTGGGGTTTGAACCTGAGACCCCCTGATCGCACAAGTCCGCTGCGCCACACGCCTCCCATGTATAAACCTATATATACACAATTCTACTATTTCAACAATTAGACAGTTTATACATCCGAACAGTCAGGAAACCGAGGAAAGTCTTCCATCTGATTGATTTGATATATTTCTATTGATCACAGGTGATCACACTACAATATAACATTGTATGCACGAGTGGGAATTGAACCGGCAGCCTTGGAGACGTGCACTAAAGGCAGCACCGGTCTGGATATCACGGGACCTTTCTGACATTTTGTATGACCTAAGATTAAAGGAAAAATATCTGAAAGTTTAATGAAATGAAGGAAATTCTGTTTAAAAACATTTTCTGGGTTTTTTATTATTTATAATTAAAAAAAGAAAATTAAATGTTTGAATAAAATAAATATTTAAAGTTTTTATGAAACGTCCCGACTTTTATTATTATCTACGATTAAGATAAATAAATGTATAAACACAAATAAATAAAAATGTGTTTTATTTAAAGTCAAAAAGTGACTCTTACATGTAAACCAGAGCCATATAATAGATAATAATTATAATTAATAATTCTATCTATATGGCGCTGATGCAAACATATGAAAACTTTAAAAAGGAGCTTCATTTTTCCCCACTTTCTATTCTTAATAATAATTGTAATAAATGTTTTTAATGTAAAATAAAAACAATATAACTATTTTTAATTTAATTTATTAAAGGGCCTTTTTTTTAATAATTAATCTCTATTAATTAATTTATTACTAATTAAAGTAATTTTGTTGTTTTTTATTATATATTTTATTCTGGGTCTAAATTAAAGCGTGACGCTCAGCAGACGGCTCATGTCGCAGCACGCATGCGCAGTGAACCCCCTCTGTGCCATGCTGCTGAGCGGATCTCTGCCTCAGAAGAGAGGTATCACTCCGCCGATTCTCCAGGGACTACATTCCATCAGATTGTCTGTAGTAATTGTAGAAAGGGGTTTAAATAAAGAATAAAACTAATTCTAAAAACACTAAAATGGAAGAAAATATGTAAAATAATTTAAAAAAATGTTTTATATAAGTGTTTACATTTTTGTGATTTTTGGGACAATAAATATAATTTAATTAAAATGTGTCTTTGTGCTGTGCAGGTCTTTGTGCTGTGCAGGTCTTTGTGCTGTGCAGGTCTTTGTGCTATGCAGGTCTTTGTGCTATGCAGGTCTTTGGGTTCACTCCCATGTTGATAAGAGAATTAGAAACTTGCGAAAATATGACTTTAAGTTGCATTTAAAATGTATTTGGGATGAATGTTTTAAAAGGATTTCATTTTCTGGACAATAAATGAAATACAGATTTGACTATTTAATGGAAGGACAGCATTAAGATTCATTTATTAAATTAAATATTATTATTAATACTTTTTTATCATTGATTGTTATTTTTAATATTCTTCTTCTTATTATTTAATTTTAATTCAAATGTACTTAATTACAAGTCATATATATATTATTTTATTGTAATTTTGTATATATTTGCTGTTAATGGTCATTTTAAATCTGTATTTTATTGTATTTTATTGTATATTTTTAATATTTTATAACTAATCATCCGTCTCTCTAACGGTCCTTGTTTCTATGGTAACGGCAGCGCATTCTCTGCTCTCTCTGGTCCCGGAAGAATCCACGGAGTGAGACCTCCGCTGCGGCCCACACAGGAGACGATCTTTGTGACAGTGTGTGTGTGAATCCGTCGTTGAACGGACAGAGAACCGGAGAGCAACCGGAGCACCGGAGCAGAAGCACAATGGGGAAAAAACAGAAGAAGTCCGGAGAGGACAGGTAACGATTTGACGGTCTCACAGACACCTGACAGCGGACAGGACTGTTAGCATTGCGTTAGCTTAGCTGCTAACCGCGAGAGCGCCTGTTCAACAGCGAGTGGAAAGCTACATGCTACGCTACATGCTAACAGGCGGTACAATGAGGGGGAGCTAAGATGCTAAGCTAACTGTTAGCATGTCTCTTATCACAATGTGACATTTATTTAAGCCTTTTCAAAAACACTCTACAACTCCTTCAGATAAATGACACACATACATATACTATACATATTAATGCTCTCTCTCTCACACACACACACACACACACACACACACACACACACACACACGTCAACATATAGATAGAAATATGCTTTATTTATCCCAACTGTTTAAACTATTGTCCCAGTAGCTGTGTGTAACAGTCTGATGTAACACCTGTTAGCTTCTCCACAGGTAAATCATCCCAGGTAACCCCCCTGTGAAAACACTCTGTTAGCAACACATGTCCTGCTTTAGTAACCTTGAACAAAGGAGAGAAAGTGGTTAAAATGAGCTGTAAAAGCTCCAACAGTGAGGAAGTACCGGTAGTTGTGGAATGTGTCTCTGTTGTGGTGGAGAAAATACTAAATAAAGCTGTACAGCAGGAATAAGAGTAAGGGGCACAGGGGGCTGAAATAAAGGGTCGAGAGAGAGAGAGACCACCGAGTCGGCAGCTTTTTGTTCACATTGTTCACAGAGACTGAGGGAGGAAGAGGAGGAAGAGGAGGAACTATATATTCAGTTCATTTTAAAGAGTCCTCTCCTGCTGATGTTCAGGTGTATATCAGTATGTAGTATCTCTACTTTAAAGAGTCCTCTCCTGCTGATGTTCAGGTGTATATCAGTATGTAGTGTCTCTACTTTAAAGAGTCCTCTCCTGCTGATGTTCAGGTGTATATCAGTATGTAGTGTCTCTACTTTAAAGAGTCCTCTCCTGCTGATGTTCAGGTGTATATCAGTATGTAGTGTCTCTACTTTAAAGAGTCCTCTCCTGCTGATGTTCAGGTGTATATCAGTATGTAGTGTCTCTACTTTAAAGAGTCCTCTCCTGCTGATGTTCAGGTGTATATCAGTATGTAGTGTCTCTACTTTAAAGAGTCCTCTCCTGCTGATGTTCAGGTGTATATCAGTATGTAGTGTCTCTGCTTTAAAGAGTCCTCTCCTGCTGATGTTCAGGTGTATATCAGTATGTAGTGTCTCTACTTTAAAGAGTCCTCTCCTGCTGATGTTCAGGTGTATATCAGTATGTAGTGTCTCTACTTTAAAGAGTCCTCTCCTGCTGATGTTCAGGTGTATATCAGTATGTAGTGTCTCTGCTTTAAAGAGTCCTCTCCTGCTGATGTTCAGGTGTATATCAGTATGTAGTGTCTCTACTTTAAAGAGTCCTCTCCTGCTCATGTTCAGGTGTATATCAGTATGTAGTGTCTCTACTTTAAAGAGTCCTCTCCTGCTCATGTTCAGGTGTATATCAGTATGTAGTGTCTCTACTTTAAAGAGTCCTCTCCTGCTGATGTTCAGGTGCATATCAGTATGTAGTGTCTCTACTTTAAAGAGTCCTCTCCTGCTGATGTTCAGGTGTATATCAGTGTGTAGTGTCTCTACTTTAAAGAGTCCTCTCCTGCTGATGTTCAGGTGTATATCAGTATGTAGAGTCTCTACTTTAAAGAGTCCTCTCCTGCTGATGTTCAGGTGTATATCGGTATGTAGTGTCTCTACTTTAAAGAGTCCTCTCCTGCTGATGTTCAGGTGTATATCAGTATGTAGTGTCTCTACTTTAAAGAGTCCTCTCCTGCTGATGTTCAGGTGTATATCAGTATGTAGTGTCTCTACTTTAAAGAGTCCTCTCCTGATGATGTTCAGGTGTATATCAGTATGTAGTGTCTCTACTTTAAAGAGTCCTCTCCTGCTGATGTTCAGGTGTATATCAGTATGTAGTGTCTCTACTTTAAAGAGTCCTCTCCTGCTGATGTTCAGGTGTATATCAGTATGTAGTGTCTCTACTTTAAAGAGTCCTCTCCTGATGATGTTCAGGTGTATATCAGTATGTAGTGTCTCTACTTTAAAGAGTCCTCTCCTGCTGATGTTCAGGTGTATATCGGTATGTAGTGTCTCTACTTTAAAGAGTCCTCTCCTGCTGATGTTCAGGTGTATATCAGTATGTAGTGTCTCTACTTTAAAGAGTCCTCTCCTGCTGATGTTCAGGTGTATATCAGTATGTAGTGTCTCTACTTTAAAGAGTCCTCTCCTGCTGATGTTCAGGTGTATATCAGTATGTAGTGTCTCTGCTTTAAAGAGTCCTCTCCTGCTGATGTTCAGGTGTATATCAGTATGTAGTGTCTCTACTTTAAAGAGTCCTCTCCTGCTCATGTTCAGGTGTATATCAGTATGTAGTGTCTCTACTTTAAAGAGTCCTCTCCTGCTCATGTTCAGGTGTATATCAGTATGTAGTGTCTCTACTTTAAAGAGTCCTCTCCTGCTGATGTTCAGGTGCATATCAGTATGTAGTGTCTCTACTTTAAAGAGTCCTCTCCTGCTGATGTTCAGGTGTATATCAGTGTGTAGTGTCTCTACTTTAAAGAGTCCTCTCCTGCTGATGTTCAGGTGTATATCAGTATGTAGAGTCTCTACTTTAAAGAGTCCTCTCCTGCTGATGTTCAGGTGTATATCGGTATGTAGTGTCTCTACTTTAAAGAGTCCTCTCCTGCTGATGTTCAGGTGTATATCAGTATGTAGTGTCTCTACTTTAAAGAGTCCTCTCCTGCTGATGTTCAGGTGTATATCAGTATGTAGTGTCTCTACTTTAAAGAGTCCTCTCCTGATGATGTTCAGGTGTATATCAGTATGTAGTGTCTCTACTTTAAAGAGTCCTCTCCTGCTGATGTTCAGGTGTATATCAGTATGTAGTGTCTCTACTTTAAAGAGTCCTCTCCTGCTGATGTTCAGGTGTATATCAGTATGTAGTGTCTCTACTTTAAAGAGTCCTCTCCTGATGATGTTCAGGTGTATATCAGTATGTAGTGTCTCTACTTTAAAGAGTCCTCTCCTGCTGATGTTCAGGTGTATATCGGTATGTAGTGTCTCTACTTTAAAGAGTCCTCTCCTGCTGATGTTCAGGTGTATATCAGTATGTAGTGTCTCTACTTTAAAGAGTCCTCTCCTGCTGATGTTCAGGTGTATATCAGTATGTAGTGTCTCTACTTTAAAGAGTCCTCTCCTGCTGATGTTCAGGTGTATATCAGTATGTAGTGTCTCTACTTTAAAGAGTCCTCTCCTGCTGATGTTCAGGTGTATATCAGTATGTAGTGTCTCTACTTTAAAGAGTCCTCTCCTGCTGATGTTCAGGTGTATATCAGTATGTAGTGTCTCTACTTTAAAGAGTCCTCTCCTGCTGATGTTCAGGTGTATATCAGTATGTAGTGTCTCTACTTTAAAGAGTCCTCTCCTGCTGATGTTCAGGTGTATATCAGTATGTAGTGTCTCTACTTTAAAGAGTCCCCTCTCTTCTTCTGTAGTGCCAAAGATGACGGTGTGGATCTCGATGCTCTCGCTGCAGAGATCGAAGGAGCCGGCGCCTCCAAAGAGCCGAAAGGGAAGAAGAAGAAGAAAGGAGTGAAGAAGGAGGACTACGAGTGAGCCGCCATCTTTAATCCTCCTCCTTGTTGTTGTTGTTGTTGTTGTTGTTGACCCTACCTGGTGTGTGTGCTCCTGCAGTGAGGAGGAGATCCTGAAGGAGCTGGAGGAGTTATCTCTGGAGACTCACGGAGGGAAAGCAAAGGTAAGCTGTGAAACCCTCCTGTTTGTTTGCTTGTTTGTTTACATTGTTTACCTGTTGTTGTTGTCTTTATCCAGGCGGAGGCAGCGGAGGAAGCGGAGGAGGCGGAGCCTCCCAAACCAGAGAAGAAGAAGACGAGGAAGGGGAAGAAAGGAGGCGCTGAGGAAGATGAGGAGGAGGAAGAGAAGAAGGTACATGTGAATGATATAGTGTAGCGCCACCTACAGGCAGATTCAGTGAGAACAGCACCATCTACAGGCCTGGCATATGTACTACAGCGTCTCCAGCGCTTTCGAACGGCAATGGCCGTGGCTGTCTCCTCCTGATTGGTGGAGTTGGCCCAATAGCCGTAGCGCCACCGTCCTGACGTCAGGACAGTGTTCAAATCTGGATCAGTTTTTATCAGATCCGTTGCAGCCCCTTTTTTAGAGATTTGGGTATGGAGGAAAATAGAGAGGGTTGTGTTTTCTGACACTTGGTGAGTTCCCTGGAACACCGGGGACACATATTCATGTAGAAAAGACGTACAAACGTGCATTTTGCATGATAGGTCCCCTTTAAATAAAAACTAAAAAGTTCAATTTATTTCCTGGTAAAGAAAGAGGAGTTTGTTGTTGTTGTTGTTGTTGTTGTGTTTCCTCTCTGCTGAGCGCCAGAGGCCCGAGGCAGTGCTTTACGTAGTTACAGACTGACTGTTGATATTTATCTCATTCGATAGTTCAGAACATTTTACACGTTTTTTACATTTATGCTTTTCTTTCAGAATTTCTGAGTGTTTAGGAATTTAAATATTCTTCATCTCATTTCTCCTCTTCAGGCTCCTCCTCCTCTTCAGGCTCCTCCTCTTCAGGCTCCTCCTGCTCCTCCTGCTGCTGCTCCCTCCGACTCTGATGAGGACATCTCTCGCTTCAAAACCAAAAAACAAATGTCTGTTTCTGAAGAAGACGTGAAGACAGGAGGAGGAGGAGGGAAAGAGGATGAAGGGTCTGATGATGACGAAGAGGAGGAGCCGTCCTCCAGGAGGGACAAGAAGAAGAAGAACAAAGGCAAAGCGATGAAGGTGGACAGTGATGAAGAGGAGGACCAGGAGGAAGACGGAGGATCCAAGATGAAGACGGCGGCTCAGAAGAAGGCGGAGAAGAAGGAGCGCGACAAGAAGAAGAAGGAGGAGGAGAGGATGAAGAGGATGAAGATGAAGGAGAAGGAGAAGGAGAAGGAAGGCAGCGTGGAGCCCAAGAAGGAGCCAGAAGCCCCGCCCCCTCAGGAGGCTGCTCCAATCGCAGCGGCCGAGGAGCAGGAGGAGGCGGAGCCTATGGGAGAAGGTGAGACGGACAGGAAGGAGGGATTTACGATAAAGATAATTATATACAAACAAATAAATAAAAAGTCTTTTTTTATTAATGATTATTATTTATTTCATTTTTCCACATTTTGAAAATGTAAATTCTTCTTCTTCATTTATTTACAAATAATAATTATTATTTTCCCTTTTTCTATTTCCTTTGATTTAATATTATTTTACAGGTTATTATTATTATGTATTACTGTTTTTCATGACTCACCTTTGACTCTAAATTCATGTTTCTTTATGGCTCATCATCTTCATCATCTTCATCATCATCAGAGGAGGAGACGGAGGGCGACAAAAAGAAGAAAGACAAGAAGAAGAAGAAGGGGGAGAAGGAGAAGGAGGAGAAGAAGAAGGGACCCAGTAAAGCCACAGTGAAGGCCATGCAGGAGGCGCTGGCCCAGATGAAAGAGGTGCAGGGGCATTCTGGGTAATGTAGTCAGAGTGCTTGTTGTTGTTGTGGTGTTTCTTATAACTGTTGTTGTTTACAGGAGGAGGAGACGGCCAGGAAGGAGGAGGAGGAGCGAGTTCTGAGGATGGAGGAGATGGAGAAGCAGAGGGAGGAGCAGGTGAGCAAGTCTCTCAAGAGTTCTTCATTTCTCACTTAAGATATTTAGATATGTTTTTAATTTTGAACAGAACAAATATATAAAACATAAACTCATATATTTATAATATTTCAGGAGCGTTTGGATCAGGAGCGGAAAGACAAGAAGAAGCTGAAGGAGAAGGAGAGGAAGGAGCGTCTGAAGAAAGAAGGGAAGCTCCTCACGAAAGCTCAGAAAGATGCTCGAGCTCGAGCTGAAGCTACACTGAAGCTACTGCAGGCACAGGGTGAGGCTACGTTAGCTTAGCATCAACACTGAAGCTACTGCAGGCACAGGGTGAGGCTACGTTAGCTTAGCATCAACACTGAAGCTACACTGAAGCTACTGCAAGCACAGGGTGAGGCTACGTTAGCTTAGCATCAACACTGAAGCTACACTGAAGCTACTGCAAGCACAGGGTGAGGCTACGTTAGCTTAGCATCTACACTGAAGCTACTGCAAGCACAGGGTGAGGCTACGTTAGCTTAGCATCAACACTGAAGCTACTGCAAGCACAGGGTGAGGCTACGTTAGATTAGCATCAACACTGAAGCTACTGCAGGCACAGGGTGAGGCTATGTTAGCTTAGCATCAACACTGAAGCTACACCGAAGCTACTGCAAGCACAGGGTGAGGCTACGTTAGCTTAGCATCAACACTGAAGCTACACCGAAGCTACTGCAAGCACAGGGTGAGGCTACGTTAGCTTAGCATCAACACTGAAGCTGCTGCAAGCACAGGGTGAGGCTACGTTAGCTTAGCATCAACACTGAAGCTACACCAAAGCTACTGCAAGCACAGGGTGAGGCTATGTTAGCTTAGCATCAACACTGAAGCTACACTGAAGCTACTGCAAGCACAGGGTGAGGCTACGTTAGCTTAGCATCTACACTGAAGCTACTGCAAGCACAGGGTGAGGCTACGTTAGCTTAACATCAACACTGAAGCTACTGCAAGCACAGGGTGAGGCTACGTTAGCTTAGCATCAACACTGAAGCTACTGCAAGCACAGGGTGAGGCTACGTTAGCTTAGCATCAACACTGAAGCTACACCGAAGCTACTGCAAGCACAGGGTGAGGCTACGTTAGCTTAGCATCAACACTGAAGCTGCTGCAAGCACAGGGTGAGGCTACGTTAGCTTAGCATCAACACTGAAGCTACACCGAAGCTACTGCAAGCACAGGGTGAGGCTATGTTAGCTTAGCATCAACACAGAAGCTACACTGAAGCTACTGCAAGCACAGGGTGAGGCTACGTTAGCTTAGCATCAACACTGAAGCTACTGCAAGCACAGGGTGAGGCTACGTTAGCTTAGCATCAACACTGAAGCTACTGCAAGCACAGGGTGAGGCTACGTTAGCTTAGCATCAACACTGAAGCTACTGCAGGCACAGGGTGAGGCTACGTTAGCTTAGCATCAACACTGAAGCTACTGCAGGCACAGGGTGAGGCTACGTTAGCTTAGCATCAACACTGAAGCTACTGCAGGCACAGGGTGAGGCTACGTTAGCTTAGCATCAACACTGAAGCTACTGCAAGCACAGGGTGAGGCTACGTTAGCTTAGCATCAACACTGAAGCTGCTGCAAGCACAGGGTGAGGCTACGTTAGCTTAGCATCAACACTGAAGCTGCTGCAAGCACAGGGTGAGGCTACGTTAGCTTAGCATCAACACTGAAGCTACACCGAAGCTACTGCAAGCACAGGGTGAGGCTACGTTAGCTTAGCATCAACACTGAAGCTACTGCAAGCACAGGGTGAGGCTACGTTAGCTTAGCATCAACACTGAAGCTGCTGCAAGCACAGGGTGAGGCTACGTTAGCTTAGCATCAACACTGAAGCTACACCGAAGCTACTGCAAGCACAGGGTGAGGCTACGTTAGCTTAGCATCAACACTGAAGCTGCTGCAAGCACAGGGTGAGGCTACGTTAGCTTAGCATCAACACTGAAGCTACACCGAAGCTACTGCAAGCACAGGGTGAGGCTATGTTAGCTTAGCATCAACACTGAAGCTACACTGAAGCTACTGCAAGCACAGGGTGAGGCTACGTTAGCTTAGCATCTACACTGAAGCTACTGCAAGCACAGGGTGAGGCTACGTTAGCTTAGCATCAACACTGAAGCTACTGCAAGCACAGGGTGAGGCTACGTTAGCTTAGCATCAACACTGAAGCTACTGCAAGCACAGGGTGAGGCTACGTTAGCTTAGCATCAACACTGAAGCTACTGCAGGCACAGGGTGAGGCTACGTTAGCTTAGCATCTACACTGAAGCTACTGCAAGCACAGGGTGAGGCTACGTTAGCTTAGCATCAACACTGAAGCTACTGCAAGCACAGGGTGAGGCTACGTTAGCTTAGCATCAACACTGAAGCTACTGCAAGCACAGGGTGAGGCTACGTTAGCTTAGCATCAACACTGAAGCTACTGCAAGCACAGGGTGAGGCTACGTTAGCTTAGCATCAACACTGAAGCTACTGCAAGCACAGGGTGAGGCTACGTTAGCTTAGCATCAACACTGAAGCTACACTGAAGCTACTGCAGGCACAGGGTGAGGCTACGTTAGCTTAGCATCAACACTGAAGCTACTGCAAGCACAGGGTGAGGCTACGTTAGCTTAGCATCAACACTGAAGCTACTGCAAGCACAGGGTGAGGCTATGTTAGCTTAGCATCAACACTGAAGCTACTGCAAGCACAGGGTGAGGCTACGTTAGCTTAGCATCAACACTGAAGCTACTGCAAGCACAGGGTGAGGCTACGTTAGCTTAGCATCTACACTGAAGCTACTGCAAGCACAGGGTGAGGCTACGTTAGCTTAGCATCAACACTGAAGCTACTGCAAGCACAGGGTGAGGCTACGTTAGCTTAGCATCAACACTGAAGCTACTGCAAGCACAGGGTGAGGCTACGTTAGCTTAGCATCAACACTGAAGCTACTGCAAGCACAGGGTGAGGCTACGTTAGCTTAGCATCAACACTGAAGCTACTGCAAGCACAGGGTGAGGCTACGTTAGCTTAGCATCAACACTGAAGCTACACTGAAGCTACTGCAGGCACAGGGTGAGGCTACGTTAGCTTAGCATCAACACTGAAGCTACTGCAAGCACAGGGTGAGGCTACGTTAGCTTAGCATCAACACTGAAGCTACTGCAAGCACAGGGTGAGGCTATGTTAGCTTAGCATCAACACTGAAGCTACACTGAAGCTACTGCAAGCACAGGGTGAGGCTACGTTAGCTTAGCATCAACACTGAAGCTACACTGAAGCTACTGCAAGCACAGGGTGAGGCTACGTTAGCTTAGCATCAACACTGAAGCTACTGCAAGCACAGGGTGAGGCTATGTTAGCTTAGCATCAACACTGAAGCTACACTGAAGCTACTGCAAGCACAGGGTGAGGCTACGTTAGCTTAGCATCAACACTGAAGCTACACTGAAGCTACTGCAAGCACAGGGTGAGGCTACGTTAGCTTAGCATCAACATTGAAGCTACTGCAAGCACAGGGTGAGGCTACGTTAGCTTAGCATCAACACTGAAGCTACACCGAAGCTACTGCAAGCACAGGGTGAGGCTACGTTAGCTTAGCATCAACACTGAAGCTACACTGAAGCTACTGCAAGCACAGGGTGAGGCTACGTTAGCTTAGCATCAACACTGAAGCTACTGCAAGCACAGGGTGAGGCTACGTTAGCTTAGCATCAACACTGAAGCTACTGCAAGCACAGGGTGAGGCTACGTTAGCTTAGCATCAACACTGAAGCTACTGCAGGCACAGGGTGAGGCTACGTTAGCTTAGCATCAACACTGAAGCTACTGCAGGCACAGGGTGAGGCTACGTTAGCTTAGCATCAACACTGAAGCTACTGCAAGCACAGGGTGAGGCTACGTTAGCTTAGCATCAACACTGAAGCTACTGCAAGCACAGGGTGAGGCTATGTTAGCTTAGCATCAACACTGAAGCTACACTGAAGCTACTGCAAGCACAGGGTGAGGCTACGTTAGCTAAGCATCAACACTGAAGCTACACTGAAGCTATTGCAAGCACAGGGTGAGGCTACGTTAGCTTAGCATCAACATTGAAGCTACTGCAAGCACAGGGTGAGGCTACGTTAGCTTAGCATCAACACTGAAGCTGCTGCAAGCACAGGGTGAGGCTACGTTAGCTTAGCATCAACACTGAAGCTACACCGAAGCTACTGCAAGCACAGGGTGAGGCTACGTTAGCTTAGCATCAACACTGAAGCTACACTGAAGCTACTGCAAGCACAGGGTGAGGCTACGTTAGCTAAGCATCAACACTGAAGCTACTGCAGGCACAGGGTGAGGCTACGTTAGCTTAGCATCAACACTGAAGCTACTGCAAGCACAGGGTGAGGCTACGTTAGCTTAGCATCTACACTGAAGCTACTGCAAGCACAGGGTGAGGCTACGTTAGCTTAGCATCAACACTGAAGCTACTGCAAGCACAGGGTGAGGCTACGTTAGCTTAGCATCAACACTGAAGCTACTGCAAGCACAGGGTGAGGCTACGTTAGCTTAGCATCAACACTGAAGCTACTGCAGGCACAGGGTGAGGCTACGTTAGCTTAGCATCAACACTGAAGCTACTGCAGGCACAGGGTGAGGCTACGTTAGCTTAGCATCAACACTGAAGCTACACTGAAGCTACTGCAAGCACAGGGTGAGGCTACATTAGCTTAGCATCAACACTGAAGCTACTGCAAGCACAGGGTGAGGCTACGTTAGCTTAGCATCAACATTGAAGCTACACTGAAGCTACTGCAGGCACAGGGTGAGGCTACGTTAGCTTAGCATCAACACTGAAGCTACTGCAAGCACAGGGTGAGGCTACGTTAGCTTAGCATCAACACTGAAGCTACTGCAAGCACAGGGTGAGGCTACGTTAGCTTAGCATCAACACTGAAGCTACTGCAGGGTGAGGCTATGTTAGCTTAGCATCAAGAGACTGGAAACACATTATTATTTGTTGTTCTCTTTCTGCTGATACACATCTTGTATCTTATGGGATGTTAGTAATACACCAGTATTACTTTATATTTCCACATGTTTCATTTATTTATGTTTCTTTACGTTCCCATGCCGTTGATCGCTTAATTATTCTTTCATGTTTTTCAGGAATTGAAGTTCCGACCCGAGACGACTCGCTGCCGAAGAAGAAGCCGGTCTACGGAGACAAGAGGAAGAAGAAGGAGAAGGAGAAGCCTGCGCTCCAGACTCCAGAAGGTATCACTATATTATTATTATTATTATTCACTTTCACTTCACGCTTAGTTCCTACATGTGAGTGTTTCCCTCGTCCATGTTATTATTTATAGTCCTTGGGCAGCGACACAAATAACATGCAGCACGAACCCCTCATAATAACATGCAGCACGAACCCCTCATAATAACATGCAGCACGAACCCCTCATAATAACATGCAGCACGAACCCCTCATAATAACATGCAGCAAGAACCCCTCATAATAACATGCAGCACGAACCCCTCATAATAACATGCAGCACGAACCCCTCTCATAATAATAGCTTGCATTTATATAGCGCCTTTCAAGGGACCCAATGCCTCTCACACTAACAGACCTAAAGGTACCAACGCTGCTCCTTTAAATGTGTCTTTATAAAAGGAGCAGAAACCCTGAAAATATCAGTTTAATTTACCGTTAAACCCCGTCTCTTTCCCCCTCTCTTTTCCCGTCTCTTTCCCCGTCTCTTTCCCCGTCTCTTTCCCCGTCTCTTTCCCGTCTCTTTCCCCGTCTCTTTCCCCTCTCTTTCCCCGTCTCTTTCCCCGTCTCTTTCCCCCTCTCTTTCCCGTCTCTTTCCCCGTCTCTTTCCCCGTCTCTTTCCCGTCTCTTTCCCCCTCTCTTTCCCGTCTCTTTCCCCTCTCTTTCCCCCGTCTCTTTCCCCCGTCTCTTTCCCCCTCTCTTTCCCCGTCTCTTTCCCCGTCTCTTTCCCGTCTCTTTCCCCCTCTCTTTCCCCGTCTCTTTCCCCCGTCTCTTTCCCCCGTCTCTTTCCCCGTCTCTTTCCCCTCTCTTTCCCGTCTCTTTCCCCCTCTCTTTCCCCCTCTCTTTCCCCCGTCTCTTTCCCCTCTCTTTCCCCCGTCTCTTCCCCCTCTCTTTCCCCGTCTCTTTCCCCCTCTCTTTCCCGTCTCTTTCCCCCTCTCTTTCCCCGTCTCTCTTCCCCCTCTTTCCCCGTCTCTTTCCCCGTCTCTTTCCCCCGTCTCTTTCCCCCTCTCTTTCCCGTCTCTTCCCCGTCTCTTTCCCCGTCTCTTTCCCCGTCTCTTTCCCCCTCCTCTTTCCCCCTCTCTTTCCCCGTCTCTTTCCCCGTCTCAGAACCATCGGCGGTGGCCTCGCCGGTCCCAGAGACACCTGAGCCGGCTGCCGTTGTGACGGAGGCGGAGAAGCCGGCCGCAGTGCCCCCCCCACCTGGTGAGATCAGAACCAGGTTAATTAGATATAATAATCAATAATAATAAATACTGATATTTATTTATTTGTGTGTGTGTGCATGCAGAGGTGAAGCCAGACGCTGCTGTGGACGACTGGGAGGCCATCGTCACGGACGAGGAGAAAGGTGACTCTTTCATTACCTTCCTCACTTTACTCGATACGGGAACATACGGATCTGTTGGTGCACAAACTATTTTAGGATCAAAGTTAAACTAAACTTGCATTTTCTTGAAGAATAATCACTTTTTTAAGTGTAATGTTGGCTATTTTTCCTGATGGAAGCGTTCGGCACACATGTTGTGTTCAAGGACCGTTGGAAAGATAACAACTCAACAATTAATTCCGTTTTTCAGTCTCTGATAAAAAGAGTCATTTTGTGGGATTGTTTTTTAAATGAAAGCCACTTCCCGTCCTGCTTTCATTTTTAATGTCACTTTTTTTTAAGGTTATTTTTGTCTATTTTTCCTGATGGAAGCGTTCCTCACACATGTTGTGTTCAAGGGCCGTCGGAAAGTAGCAACTCCTATAATGTTTTGAGTTTTTACAGGTTGGGATGAAAAGGTGATTTTATTGATCTTTCCTTCTGTCAGAGTTAAAGAAAGTCCACATCGAGGTGAAGGAGG